CAAGTGGTGACCACAAAACCTAATTTTACCTAAAAAACACAGATTAGTAATGTAAGGAACATTAGAGATGGGAAGAAATCTCTTTCTTCTTTATTCTATGTTTGTCTCTGAAAGTATGGTCCTGTACAAAAATATTTATAATGCATTATGCTGTGAGGAAGAACCTGCAAGTGGTCTTGCAGAATACCTCATCTCAACAGTGAGCATGATAGACCTTATCAACTTATGGTGCAAATTTTGGATATCAGTATACCTGAACAGGCACCACTCACCACAGAGCCAGATCCACAACATGTAAAGTAGGGCCCTGACAATAATATGTAGAAATGATATAAAATAACTTAGTCACTCAGAGTTGTACTGATGTATGAAGAATTGCTACAAGGAAGAAGATATCCAGTTGAGCAGATGGTGTAAGTAGTGCAACTCAAAAGTGTGGGAGTGGTCTACTTGAATAATCTCCTCAAAGAACAATGAGCAGCCAAGGAGAGTGTGAGGTGACAGATCTGATGGGATGATACACAAAATTGGCAAGATTCAGAAGAAAGGGAGGAATATGCAATACTGATAACCTGATGAAACTAACTGGTAAGAGTAATAGGAGAAATATCATGAGAAATGGATGGATTACAAGGGGTGATAGCCACAGAACGGTGCTGTGCGTGACATTTAATACCATAAAACACACACTTGACACAATCCAAATCAAAGCGGGATTAAATATGGAATATAGAAGGAAGGAAAAACTGGAAAGAAAAACACATGGAAAAAAGGGGAAAAATGAAAAAACCATAAAGCACAGCACAGACTAGACACAATCCAAATCAGAGTGGGATTAAATATGGAATATACAAGGAAGGAAAAAACTGGAAAGAAAAACACATGGAAAAAAGGAGAAAATCGAAATGTAGATGATAGAAGCCACCCTATAACCTGCAAAGGTTGAAAAAGACATATCTTTGTCAAACAACCATGTAAAGAAATCAGGGAACGTAAAGGGAGAATCTATGCCAAACAAACCAACAATGAAATATTCTCTACTTACATTGATACACAGACATGGATGAGGAATGAACAAAGTGAGACAACAGGGATGGTCACGAACCCCCTTGCAAGGGACCGGACAAAAGCTACACACGAAGCTGGAGTGTAGGAATGAAGCATACTTGAGTGAGGTTGCTGGAGAAGGGACCAGGAGAGAGGAAAAGTTAATGGAGATTGTTCCTGTAGAAGGGACAAGAATGGAAACCATGGTGGAACCAGCCATAAAAGAGCCAGAAGAAGGACCTGGCACAGAGTGGATTGGATGAGAGAAATTACTGAGGGTAGAAGAAAAGGTCCTTCAAATCCTGGCTGAATGCATCCAAAGCCAAAGGATGTGGAACTAGGAACCAAAAGAGAAGAAGCTTGGCTGTCAAATGAGTGGCAATTGCATCCAGTTGTGGAGAATCTGAGATCATAGCCATCAGAACATCTGGGGTCAAAAGACTACTCCGTGAATAGAATCTTGTCGGGGCAGAACAAATGATCCACAATAAGATTGAGAGCACCCAGTAAATGACAAGCCAGCAAATTAATTTGATGTCTGTGAGTCCAAAAGAGGAGATCTAGAATGCATGAACATAATGACCGAGATATAATGCCCCCTTGACTGGTGATGTAATAGACAACCGTTGAGTTGTCAGAATGAATCATAACTGTCATGCCCCGCATAGATGGCAGAAACAGAACCATCACTCAATGAACAGCAAGGAGTTCCAAAATGTTGATGTGAAGACCTGACTTTCCTTGATACCAACAGCCCTAGATCTCCTGTGCATTGCAGCAGGTACCCCATCCTGACAACTAGGCATCCATGAAGAAGTGGATATCCGGATGGGAAGGAGGAATAGGTATACCTACTGTCATTTTGTCCCAGTCTAGCCACCAGAGGAATTTGGACTGAAGGGAAGCAGGAAAGGATATCTGTGGGTATGGCTAAGAGAGATAAGAGCCTCCAGTGATGCCCAAGTCCCAAAAGGAAAAAGAACCTCTCACTCAGGGAGAGAAGGTGCTGATATTAACCTCTAAACTAAAAACTCCATGGATTGCAGACAAAGAGGGGAAGGCTGGGCTTGACTGAGATATAAGTTGAAAAAGTACCCCCAGATGAACAAGATACTGAGTGGGGTGGATAACAGACTTCTCCACCTTGATAAACCAAGCCACATGAAAAGCTACTCTGAGGAGAGTTGAGTGTGTGAAAAAGACTCTGCAAAGGATGAAGCCAGAAGAAGCCAATTATCCATGTAAAGAAGGAAATCGAGCCCCCAAAAATGTAAGAATTGGGCAAATGTCAGGACCACCCAACAGAATGTGTACAGTGCTGATGCCAGTCCAAAAGAAGGAGCTATAAATTGATAAACATGATTCTTGTGGACAAAACGTAGATAACAACATTAAGCTCAAGCAATAGGGATGTGAAGATAAGTATCAGCTACATTGAATCTTGTCATCTAAAGTCCTGGAAGAAAGACCATTAAGAAAGATGGGTAGGATTTCATGGTGAACCGAGGCAAGTCAAGGAAATGATTTAGATGGGAGAAATCGCAAACAGGATAATAATATCTGGTGTCCATGTAAATAGCAAAAAGACAGGGATAAAATCGTGGAAGTACAGGAGAAACCTATTCAATGGTGCCCTTTATGAGAAGGTCTTTAACTGCTTCCGTGAAATGCTGGTGGGAAACAGGATCATGAGAGGGGGAAGAACTGGGACAGTGGATGGGGGGAGGGAAGAAAAGGAAGGAGAGCCCTTCTAACAAAACTTGAATGACCCATAAGTTTGCTGAACAATGATATGCAACAGCATGAGCTTCTGCAGTACATGGGGGGCACAGCATACTAACCACTGCTCATAATTGATCTGCAAAATGTTTGGCATGAACCTCAATATCAGGCGACAGGGGAAAAACAATACTTAGAACTAAGTTCAGCAGATAATAAGGTAGGAGAAGGATCAAATGACACATGTGACAAAGACAAAAAACACAACATACCTGTGATATCAATTCTAAAAAATGATGACTG